AAAGACCTCTGGTCCCTTTCCTGAGTGTTCATTAATTGTACCCATATCACAGGAAGGAAGACTGAAGTCTGTTAACACAGCTGGACAGACTTTTGTCACAAGCCAATGTCTGCCCTGTGGGCCCAACAGACTTTGTCCCAGCTCATTGTATGTTCTGCAAGCCCATTGAATTTCCCTAAAAATAATTTACTAGTCCCCTAAAATCATCCACACTTCCCCATCTCCCTTTCCCCTAAGATGAAGAGGATATAACCATCTGTACCCCATTGAGATAGCGGACAATCACTCTATGATTTTCCCCTATGCGTGCTAATAAATGTGTATGCCATTTTCCCTATTAATCTGCCTTTTGTCAGTAGGTTGTTTAAAGAACCTTCAGAGCGCAAAGGGGAAGTTTTCCCTTGGCCCCTACAGTCCTGATGACATCATTTATAGCAATAGCATCTAGTTCAGAATCGAGTAGTCCCTATAGTTGTCATGGTTAGCTTTTAGCATTTCTTTTTTTTCTTTATGGTGTGTATTTTCAAGTTTTATGTTATAATTTTGATGGCACTATTTTTTCAATATCCAGGGTTTAATCTAATTGCTAGGTAAATATAAATATGCCCAGAGATATTGTTCTTGAATATACATAACAAATATAATTTTTTGTGTGTATTTAAATGATGACAATTTGTATTATATTTGCCAACGGTTCCTGCTTTTTGTCCTTATAAATTTAATATGACATTTACCTTGGCCAGATATCTATAAACTACTACAATTCTGAAATACAGAAATCAAGGAATGAATACAATTCTGTATCACCTTGCATTGGCATGGTATTGATTAATTACGGTTTTGTGTGGACACTGTTTTCACCAGCGATCTCATCGATTCAAAAGGCTTGCAGAATATGGCCTGTTTTGTTTTTTCCTTCCCAGAAGCCCATTCCTAAGCCTAGCTTGGATTCCTGTTTGTGCAGACTGCTCTGCTTACATCCTGGGCAGCTCTGATGCCACATTGAACACCAGCCAAAGTCCATGCCCGCTCACGTTCACAGAGAGCAGGCAAGTGCCTTGCTTGAGGTCTCCCCGCCAGGAAACTTTCCAGTAGGGGTTCCAGCCGGGGTAGTCTGATTCCAGAACCCAAGCACAGTGCCCCTGTGCATCTTCTCAGACTATGCAGTTTTTACAAAAGTAGACATGGAAGTGTTCATCATGCTTCCCAAAGGTTCAGTTCTGCAGGCAGCCCCCACACACTTGTTGTGGTCACGTGGCATTGGTCTGGAGTCCGGCTCTACTGTTTCCTGGCTGGGTGACCTCAGGTAAGTTATGTAACCTCTCCAAGCCTCAGTGTACTCCTCTGGAAAATGGGAACATTAACAAGTCCTTCTATATAAGTTTGTTGTAAGTCTTTAAGGAGACAAGTGGTGTGAGGTACTTAGTAGAATGTCTGACACATGTAAACCCCTCATGTTTCAATAGTCATTATTAATAGAGGTAACCTGCAAAAATGCACAAATCCTTGTTTCTATCTAATGTTTCTATACACCTCTACAGAAAAAGAAAAGAAGGAAGGAAGGAAAGATCTTTTTGATGTGGGTCCAGAACCCTCGGCTCACTGTGGACTTTGACATTATGCCTGAGATTGAGGCAGCAGCCAAATTCCACAATGAGACAAAAGCACTCTTGCACAGTAACAAAAATAAGTGCCTAGAAACAGCTTCCATGCCCCCAATATACTTACTCGTGAATTGGGACTGGCGGCTCCCAAGCCCACACTGCCGCACCTTACACCCTCGGAAGAGCCCATAGTAAATGTCCCCAATGAACTTGACCAGCTCTCTGTCTGTGGCATTGACCAGATCCACTCCAGTCTGACAAAGGATTTTCCCACTCAGCCAGTGGGGCACTACCAGGGCAACGATGATCAGGATGAAGGAGGAGAAGCTGAGTAAAGACGCCAGCCCATACCACGCCTTTTTGAACCATCCAGGCATGCTAGTGGGTGCAGGTCATCCCCAAGGTCTCCGAGCAGCAGTGAGGGTCGTTGACATCTTTCAGATACTCGGCAATGCTCTGCTCCAAGGTCAGCTCTTCCAAACACTCTATTTCAAGATTTTAAGTCCATCCCCTCGTCCTCCTTCAGCGCAAGCTTGCACAGTCCATGTTTACTATAACCACATCCGGAAGCCTCTACAGAGACAATCTTCACCTGACTATGTAGCGGAGTGTGTTACTGAAGGAAGTAACCTTATATCTCCTCCTAGACTAACGTTTCAGCAGAGGGTTTAATTGTTCCTGTTTCAAGTATTTAAATAGCCCTGGTGTGGACCTCATAATGATAAAGGAGTTAGTAATAAGCAAAACCAAGTAGCTCTGATGATAAAGAGATGCAAACCAATCTCAAAAAATGCATATGGTAGAAGGAAAACAAAAATGGAATGATTAGCACCTGAATATCGCCAACAATGCACAGTGTCAAATGTCGATCTCTCTGATGCGTGGGTGTCCTGGCATTTCTTTCTCTGAAATGTCACTGCTGTCAGAATCTTTAGGACTGTTATTAATACCATCAAATGACCCTGGTTCTTGGGGCTTTAATACTGAAATATGTAAATAGGGTCTTATGAATTTCTCACTGTGTGAATCTGCTGGGGGTAAATTGTGACTAGAATTAATTTGTGTCTGTTGGGACAGCCTGGAATCCAACATTTAACATTCCTCTCTCCTGCCCCTCCTTCTACGTTATCTGAAATGGGACAGAAAAGTGTTTTTCTAGTATATTAGCAAATAGTAGCCACACTGCTGGAGTATTGATCTCTTCTAATAGTGGAAGATCTAGGTTTTCCTTTTAATCTGTAGACACTAGGAATGAAATATTCTTTCTTCTCTATCTTATACTGTGGACTTTGACATTTTGACTTTTACCTTATTCCTGAATATCAACTTAACCTCATGTGAGACTGGCAACAGCCACTCTCTCCATATCTCTGGGGACCAAAGTTGGGCAGAGGTGGAGCAGTAAAATTGTTTAGTTGGTCACAGAAGGCTGAAGGGGGGTTCAGGAAGTTGCACTGTTAACCAATAGGGGTCCCAGGAATCTCACTTGGAGAGTGTCAAGGAAGCAGAGGGACATATTAATGGAAATGTCAGTTTCCTTCCTCATAATTGGGGCTCACTTCCGTGGCCTCTCCACAATGAAAATAAAGATGAGAATTTCTGAGCCTGGGCAATGTAGTGAGACCTTATCTCTACAAAAAATTAAAAAAAATTAGTTGGGCCTGACGGCGTGTATCTGTGGTCCCAGCTACGGGAGGCTGAGGCTGGAGGATTGCTTGAGCCCAGGAGCTCAAGGCTGTAGTGAGCTATGATCATGCCACTCTGAGTAACAGAGCGAGATCCTGTCTCCCTATCTCTCTATAGAAAGATGAGTGGCACTTTACCATATACAAAATGCTTTGACCGTATGCTTGCTCACCTCTGATGCTTCAGCAACCCTTAATGGTAAACAGGAGATGTACGATTTCAGTCATTTCTCTCACGGAAAACTGGATGTCGGTGCTGGGGCTGAAATTCGGGTCTTTGAATTACAACAGCTCATCTTCATCCCAGTGACTTCGAAACAGCAAATGTTTTTCTGGTAAAAAATAACAGAATACATATAAAAGGCTCAGAAGACTGCACATCAATAAGTGATCAATAATGTTAGTTCACATTCTTATTTTAACATTAAGCATGCTTTGACAAGTCATCCGTAAATATCGAGTCATATTTCTGCTGTCAATGATGGACCTGTGTCAACTTTTGGTGTTTTGAGGGTTAAGCAATTGTTTTCAGAAAAACTCTAAGGGAAATAAATACTTGATTCCCAACAAGCCTTTGCCTTACTGAACAAAGGTGTGGTTAAGTGGAACTCTAGCCATTGAAGACCTGGGTTCAAATTCTTACTCTTCTGGACAAGTGTCTGAGTCTCTCATGACTCAGCTTTCTAATCTGCATAGGATTATCGTGTGGAGTAAAATGAAATAGCACAGGCAGATCACTTAGCACAGTGCCTTGGATATAACGGGCACTAAATCCATGGTGCTCTCCTCTCCACCCAGCCTCCTAGCAGTTCTATTTCTGATAATGAAGCTTCTGACAACAAAATGTGCTGCTGGCTGCATCCTCTTCTCTAGTGACATATTTCTGTGTGCTTTACCTGGCACAAGTTTACTGAACAAATATCTGTGTCTGCTGTGTACAAGGCTCTGTGTGTGGGAAGTGGCACAAAGATGTATATAATACAGGGGGATCTGCTATCAAGAAGGTTATGAGAGTGTTAGAGCTCTGGTTCTCTATCAGTGATGAATTTGCCCCTAGGAGGCAACTGGTAAAATGTGGAGATATTTTTGATTGTCATGAGTGAGGGGTAGGGGCTAGCTATTGACTTCTAGTGTATGCAGGCCAGGGATGCTGTAAATATCCCACAATGCCCAGGGCAGCACCTGTCACAAATAATTATCTGGCCCAAAATGTCAGCAGTGCTGTAGTTCAGAGGCTCTGTGTTAGAGATACAGGCCATGGGCAGAAATAACTAATATACATGGGAGAAAATGCCAGGATCTGTGTCTGACGATGAGTTTCATGTGGTAAAAGGGCCATTTGGATTAATGGGTATAAATGTACGGTTAGATAGAAGAAATAAGACCTAGTGTGGTTTGTCTCGTCTCCGCAGTGAACTTTCAGCTCCTTGAGCGTAGCGACCTCTTCCGTTTTTTCGGCAGGTAGGGATATTTAAATCTCTATTTTGATGCATAATTAAAAATAAAAAATTGCCAAAACAGTGGTCGAAAATCGTACTATACTATATTTCACATGCTTACACTTCACAAATTAATGCTCGTAAAACACCCACTCTCCACCCTCCTGGCCCTTAGCCCCACTCGCTGCATGCCCCGGGGCTCAGCACTTGCCCGCAGGTGGGAGGCGGGGCTTCGCCAAATCCCCGTCCCTTGGGCAGGGCCTGACCGAGGTTACAGTCACTCCGGGTGGCGGGGCGCCCCGAGCGTGGCAGCGCGCTAGGCGGCAGCAGCGGGCGCGGAGCGGGACGCGGCCGCTGCGCGTTCCCTCTTGGCGGGGTTGGCCGGCCGGGGCGGGGCGCGGCGCGGCGCGGCGCTCGGGCTCCAGGGAGTCGGAGCTGCGGTAGCCAGGCCCGCCAGGAGCAGGATGGCGGCGGCGGCTGCAGGCGAGGCGCGCCGGGTGCTGGTATACGGCGGCAGGGGCGCGCTGGGTTCTCGATGCGTGGAGGCGTTTCGGGCCCGCAACTGGGTAATGGCTGCGGGCTGGGCGCTGCTGGGTCTCCGCGGGGGTGGCCGGGGCTTTCGTGTGGAGCCCGACGGGGGGCAGTCTAGAGGAAGCTGGTTGCCCCTGTGCGCCGCTTGACCCGTGTTGCTTGCACGTGCGCGCACAGGTCTCGCGTCTATACCTGTTTCCGAGTGCGTGCGCACGCCAGTCCCAGGGCGCTGGGCCTTTGCTCTCCAAGGAGGTGCTCCGTGGGCCTCCACCAGACCCAAAAAGTCCGGCGTGACTCGGAAGAGAATTCCAAAGCGGAGGAACGGGAGCGGGGGTGAGAGGACGGAGAGAGTGTAAAAGGGAGGCTTTGGAATGAGACAGCCCAGTCCCGGTTACTAGTCGTGAGACGGCGTATTGATTACTTAACGCCCTAGGACCTCAGTTTCCCCATTTGTAAAATGGAGATTCTGATAGTGAGAGTTGCGAGGATTAGATGAGATAATTGGTGTCGTTGCACATAAATTACCTGACGCCTGGTAAAAACTGTTTAAATGCTGGTTATTAATGTTACTGTTACTACCCACCCCTGTTCTTTTAGCCCCCTTGGATCTGACAGTTTGAAGTCTCAGCACGGAAAAACGCTGACAGCTTCTTTGCTTTGCAAAGACTATTTCAACTACTTTGCATAGTCAGGTGTCAGTTTCCAGGAGGCAGCAAGTCGGAGCACAGCTGATCCATGGCCAAAGACCCTTGACCCCAGCCGCTCAGCAGGCCTCAGCACTTTCCCGGTGGAGACCCTGCCAGGGGCAGCGTTCTGGGAGCTTAGCAGCAGCAGCAGCCTGGGCAAGAGTTCCCCTGGGACCAGAAAAAGGATCTCAGGATTTTCTTTAAAAAAAAACAAAAAACAAAAAACTTACTTATCTAATTTTTATAGATTTAGGGGCACAAGTACAGTTTAGTTACATGGATATGTTGTGTAGTGGTGAAGTCTGGGCTTTTAGTGTAACCATCACCCAAATAGTGTATATTTATCAAGGTTTTCTCCTTGCTCAGAATCTGGTACAGGAATATGCTTCTAAATAATTCAGTCACACCACTCCCTTCCTGCCACCCATGTGCTCAGAGCCTGGGGACACTGATGAGGGCGCTTTCCCAGGTCTTCAAGCGATGTATGGTGGTGACAGAGGCAGCACTTCTGCCAAGGGCCAGGCACTGTGCTCCCAGTACCAGAATTCCCATAGACTCTTAATGCTCCCAGTAACTTTAAGGTAGTAGATCCCGTTAGTGTCATGTGTTAGAGGGCGAAGGCTGTGCTTTCTCCAGGTGGTGGCACTTGGACTTGGCAGAATCTGGAGAGCTGGTTTACCTCTGGCTCTTGGTCTTTCTACTCCAAATTCTTCCTGCCATCTTAGGGAGGGCTAGGATGATGGAGACTTTTCATTGTTTCAGAATCCCCCGTGGGATAACAAGTTAATTAATCATATAACAAATGTTGATAAATAGATGCTGTGTTTACAGCTTATGGCAGAGATAATTATCTCTGTGGACTTCAGACCAAGAGACCCTGAGTAAGGACTGAGCATCACCTGTGCCAGGAGCTTTCTCTTCTTCCATTTCATTTAATTCTTACACTGCCCCTGTTAATCATCAACAAACAACCTCTTTTGTTGGGAACCGCTGCCCAACATCGGAGTGAGAAAGCCATCTGGCAGAGCTGGAATTCAAACCTGATCTGTCTGATTTCCAATCCTAAAACCCATCCCTGTCTGCTGTAGGGCAGGGATCCTCTGTGGGCTGAATCTGGTCTGCCACCTATTTTTGTGCAGCCCAAGACTTAAGAATGGTTTTACATTTTCAGGTGGTTGAAAGTAAAATCAAATGAGGAAAGATATTTTGTTATATGTGAAAATTATATGAAATTCACATTTCAGCTCTGAAGATTTATTAGAACACAGCTGCACTTATTTTTTCCCCCTATTTATTGCTGTGTTCTGTTACAATTGCAGATTTGGGTAACGGCAGGGTTTGTGTTTTAGAGGTGAATGTGGAGGAGGAGGGGGGTGTTTGGAGGTAGGAGGTCCTGGGATGGAGCTCAATATGGGGTAAGCTGGCCAAAGGCAGGTATCCCTGGAACGTGTGAGAGAGGTCGGTTGCTAGTTTCTTTCTCTGGTGAGTTTTCATTTAAGCTTCTTACCTGTTTCCAGTCTCCGCCTTTCTTTTTCTTTCTTTCTTTTTTTTTTAAATGGAGATAAGGCCTCCTTCTGCCGCCCAGCCCGGAGTACAGTGGTGCGATCATAGCTTACTGCACTCTCCAACCCCTGGGCTCAAGTGATCCTCTCGCCTCAACCTCCCGGGTAGCTGGGACTACAGGCATGTGCCACCACACCTGGCTAATTTTAGCATTTTTTGTAGAGACCGGGTCTTGCTGTGTTGCCCAGGCTGGTCTCAAACTCTTGGCCTCAAGAGATCCTCCCACATCGGCTCCCAAAGTGCTGGCATTATAGATGTGAACCACTACATCTGGCCACCTCCCCTCATTTCTGTGTGACTCTTTCATGGAATAACAACTCACTGCCTCTTAACCAAAGCTGTTTTCTCCTTCCAGTGGGTTGCCAGCATTGACGTGGTGGAGAATGAAGAGGCCAGCGCTAGCATCGTCGTTAAAATGACAGACTCGTTCACTGAGCAGGCTGACCAGGTAATTTCAAAAAGGCCCCCAAACGTTGTGAGGGGAACGCTGGGGAGAGGTGACCACTGTATGTTCTTCCTTTTTTTTTTTTTTTTCCGGGACGGTGTCTTGCTCTGTCACCCAGGCTCTAGTGCAGTGGCGCGATCTCCGTTCACTGCAGCCTCTGCCTGCCGGGTTGAAGCAATTCTGCCTCAGCCTCCCGAGTAGCTGGGATTGCAGGTGCCCGCCACTGTGCCCACCTTCACATCCGGCTAATTTTTTGTATTTTTAGTAGAGACAGGGTTTCACCATGTTGGCCAGGCTGGTCTTGAACTCCTGACCTTGTGATCAGCCTGCCTCGGCCTCCCAAAGTGCTCGGTTTACAGGCATAAGCCGCTGCGCCTGGCCTGTTCTTCCTTTTTTTAAAGCTGTTGTTTCTCTAATTAGGAAAGCCATTGGTGCTCATTGAGGATAATTTGGGAAAAGTGAGAAATGATACAAAGATAAATTATATAATCATTTTGAATTAGTTCACTGTTAATGTTTTGGCCTCTTTTCTTGTCTTTTTCTACGCATATTGTATGTTACTCCTTTTACAAGTTTAGGTAATTTTGTATTTTATAGTTTCTGGTCAGCTTTGTGTTTGTGTTTTCTATACTTAAATACTTCTGCAGATTACTGAAAAAACCTCTTTGTAGATGTGTGATATTCCATTTTATGGAACGACCACAGTTTACTTAGTTTCTGTTTATTGTACATTTGAGTTTTTTGCAGAATTTTTGTTTTACTATTATTAAGAATGTTGTGATGAACATCTTTGTCTACATATCTGATTATTATAATTATTATTTATTTATTTATTTATTTATTTTTTTGAGATGGAGTCTCGCTCTGTTCCCCAGGCTGGAGTGCAGTGGCCGGATCTTGGCTCACTGCAAGCTCCGCCTCCCGGTTTCATGCCATTCTCTTGCCTCAGCCTCCTGAGTAGCTGGGACTACAGGCGCCCGCCACCATGCCCGGCTAATTTTTTATATTTTTAGTAGAGATGGGGTTTCGCTGTGTTAGCCAGGATGGTCTCAATCTCCTGACGTCGTGATCTGCCTGCCTCGGCCTCCCAAAGTGCTGGGATTACAGATGTGAGCCACCGTGCCCAGCCGGTTTTTTATTTTAAGAGTCTTGCTCTGTTACTAACGCTGGAGTGCAGTGGCACAGTCTCAGCTCACTGCAACCTCTGCCTCCTGGATTCAAATGATTCTTATGCCTCAGCCTCTTGAGTAGCTGAGATTACAGGTATGCACCCCAATGCCTGGCTAACTTTTTTGTATTTTTAGTAGAGACAAGGTTTTGCCATGTTGGCCAGGCTGGTCTTGAACTTCTGACCTCAAAGTTATCCACCTACCTTGGCCTCCCAAAGTAATGGGATTATAGGTGTGAGCCACTGCACCTGGCCCACATATCTGATTATTTAGGATACATTCTAAAAAGTAGAGTTACCCAGTTCACAGCATGAACGCTAACAAAACAGGTTATTTTAAATTATAAAATTATATGCATATTATAAAACAAAAGTCCAATAAAACTATGTAAATAGTTTTATAGAAATAAACTGTGAAACTGTCCCTTTTCTCCCCATCATAGTATCATTTCCCAGAAGGACGCACTATTAACAGTTTGATGGATATCCTAGTATAAATGTCTTAGATGCTCTAGGCTGGGCGCGGTGGCTCACACCTGTAATCCCAGCACTTTGGAAGGCTGAGATGGGCAGATCACGAGGTCAGGAGATCGAGACCATCCTGGCCAACATGGTGAAACCACGTCTCTACTAAAAATACAAAAATTAGCTGGGCGTGGTGGCGTGCGCCTGTAATCCCAGCTACTCAGGAGGCTGAGGCAGGAGAATCGCTTGAACCCAGGAGGCAGAGGTTGCAGTGAGCCGAGATTGTGCCACTGGACTCCAGCCTGGGTGACAGAGTGAGACTCCGTCTCAAAAAAAAAAAAAAAAAAGAAAGAAAGAAAATCTTAGATGCTCTTAAGCTGTGCTTAACTTATTTGAGAAGCCCTTCTGGTGAGCTGCCTGGATGACTTTTGAGTCAGGTTCTCATTGTGTTGCCCAGGCTGGACTGGACTCCTGGGCTCAAAGGATCCTTCTGCTTCGCTCTCCGGAATAGCTGGGACCTCCTGAGTAGCCACTGTGCCAAACCGACTCTGTGTTTAATGGTTTTTAGTGCTGCAGCCCACATTCCCAAGGATAACTTCACATCACTGTGTGAGGCGCCATATTTTCCCAACCTCTCAGTGTGGCAGCAGGCCATTTTACAGCTGTGAAGATAAGTTTGCAGCGACTAAGTGACAAGGCCAATGAGCTGCTCGGCGGGGGGGGGGGGGGTGTCAGGATCATAGGTCTCCAGATACGAACTTTAGTAAGTTCAGGTGCCGCTTGGTCTGCACGTGGGTCTGCTTTTCATTTAGTTGCCCTCTCCTTGGTAATCTCAATACTGACGTTTTATGATGCTTATCTGTTTTTTTATAACAAATTTTTAAAATTTTAGAAGTGATGCATGTATGATATAGAAAATACAACTAAGCAAAAAGAAAAGGGAAATCATTTATAGTTCTAACATATAGTTAATCATTTATTTATATTTCCTTCCAGTCTGTCTCTCCAAAATATACATGTATAAATCTACAAATTTTGAACATAAAACTGTGAGCACAACTGTGCTACTCCTTTGCTCTTTCTGAAGTGTCAGTTTGACATAGATTGGAATGTAAAAGCCAGATGACTTAGTTTAGCACTTCATTTTTGTTGTTCTTATTTTTCTTAGTGTGGTCTCAATGTTCCCATACCTAAGTGATACAGATTGGCCTTAGTGAATTTAATACTGAAAGTTAACATGGCATTGTTAGTTGCCAGGCACCATTCTCAGTGCTTTATTTTCATTAACACATGTTGTCTTCATTACATCCCAAAACAAAGCTTCTAATTTTATCCCCCTTTTAAAAGGGGGTAACTGAGGCACAGAAAGGCCCTGGTATTTGTCCAAGGTCAAACAGATAAAAGGTTGCATAGCCAGTATTTGGACATGGGCAGTGGGGGTCTGACAGCTGTTCTCTTAACTGCTATGCTAAGATGCCTTAAAGCAAAATCGTTTCATGTGAATAAAGTAATAAAGGCTAAAATGGCTGGGTGCAGGGCCTCACACCTGTAATCCTAGCACTTTGGGAATCCGAGGCAGGAGGATCACTTGAGCCCAGGAGTTTGAGACCAGCCTGTGCAACATGGCGAAACCCCATCTCTACAAAAAAAATACAAAAATTAACTGAATGTGGTGGGACTGTAGTCCCAGCTACTCGGGAGGCTGAGGTGGGAGGGTGGCTTGAGCTTGGAAGGCAGAGGTTGCAGTGAGCCAAGATCATACCACTGCCCTCCAGTCTGGGCAACAGAGCCTAACCTTCTCTACAAAAGAAACAAAAAATGAAGTAATAAAAGCCAAAACGAAATGGAAGGGCTGTGCCTGGGCTTGGAGAGCCCCAGCCCTGCCAGGTGCGGGTCTCTGTAATTGGTGTCTGTTCTGTGTCTCTTCTGCTCTGATTAATTACAGGTTTCTAATGTCCCTGTAGATTGAATGTGGAGGTTATCCCCACCCAAGGCTTGACAGTAGAGTGCATCTCTAAGACAAAGATTGAGAGATGCGTTTGTGCTTGTAAACTTAGCTTTGCAAGTCTCTTCCCTCTTCCGCTACTCCACCAAAGGAAGAGGAGTACCTTCACCATACCCCCAACCTTCAGAATTTCCGAACAAACAGTGTAACATTCAGTTTTGTCATGAAACTGGGGAAAGAGGTAATCAACTGAAATGTTCCTACTGGGAGAGACACACGGTGTTAAGTCTTTTTTTAAAAAAAATTAAATCTAGGGATGAGATCTTGTTATGTTGCCCGGGCTGGTCTTGAACTCCTGGGCTGAAGTGATCCTTCTGCCTCTGCCTCCCAAAGTGCTGGGACTACAGGCATGAGCCACTGTGCCCAGGCTGACTTAAATCTTAAGAAGATTGGGCCAGGCCTGGTAGCTCAATCCTGTAATCCCAGCACTTTGAGAGGCCGAGGCAGGCGAATCACCTGAGGTTAGGAGTTTGAGACAAGCCTGGCCAACATGGCGAAACCCCATCTTTACTAAAAATACAAAAATTAGCTGGGTGTGGTGGCAGGCACCTGTAATCCCAGCTATTCAGGAAGCTGAGGCAGGAGAATTGCTTGAACCCGGGAGGTGCAGGTTGCAGTGAGCTGAGATTGCGCCATTGCACTCTGGCCTGGGAGACGAGCAAAACTCCATCTCAAAAAAGAAAAAAAAAAGAACTCTTAAGAAGATTGATCTTAATGAAGCAATTGGGATGTGTTGTCTCAGCCATTCCAGAGAAATATGGAAGGGTCATGGTGGATGGCCAGAATTGCCTGTCCTGACAGACTGTTCTTTTAATAAATTATAACAAGAGGGCACCTATATTTTCAATGCTTTAAAATCTCAAACAAACAGAAGCAGAGAGATCATTAAAGTGAACCCCCATGTACTTAATATTACCAACATATTGCTATTGACTGTATTTTTTCTTTCTCTCACTTTTTCTTACAATTTTTCATTGGCATTTTTTTCAGAGTTGCAGTTAAAGGGATTTTTGGATGGGGGTGGGGAAAATAGGGTTGATCTTCTTTTTGGATTCTAATTCTGTGATTTGTGAAGAAAGTCTGGAAAGAAATATACCAGGATGTTAAGTGTGGGCAGTGAAGCTCTAGGTGATTTTTTTTTTTAACCTTTCCCTACTTTTATTTATTAATTGTTTTATTTCAAGGGATGCTCATGCCTCTACCTTTCAGAATGTATACAGAGAGACTCTAGATGGTGTTTTAAAAATTACACTGAAGTGTACTTGGGCTTCAAAGTCTGAAATGCTCATCAGAGCTTAGTCTTCCACCTAATTTTCAAAGTGTTAATTGCCAGGTCCTGTAAACTGGCTTAAAAAGAAGACAAAAAGAAACTAGTATCTGTAAAGATGCTAGCCTGTGTTGGCTTACCTTACAGTTTATACATTTTTTTTGTTCCTGTGTTGAAGGTGACTGCTGAGGTTGGAAAGCTCTTGGGTGAAGAGAAGGTGGATGCAATTCTTTGCGTTGCTGGAGGATGGGCCGGGGGCAATGCCAAATCCAAGTGTGAGTCCTGTCCTGAGTCACTCATTCGTTCTGCTCTGTTCTTTGTCCAGCTGACAAGGATTGTGTATGGACTAGGTGACAGGCCAGCTGTGTTTCTGTATATATCCCAGAATCTTTACAGTTGCTCGGGGAGAGAGTGATTAATGCTCTTAATCCATTTTATGGATAAAAAAGAAACTTTCCCTAGAGGACGTGAGGGGACAGGGGCATTGAGTTTGAGTTTAAAGTCGAGGCAGAATGAAATCAGCGTGGCCTGTGCCCCAGGTCATGTGCTATTCAGGCATTGGAGGATGTGTAGGAAGTGCAGAGATCATTTAGAAAGTCAGAAGAAGTCAAACTTGAGTTTTTACTAAAGCTGATTCCTTTTTTCATCTTTTCTTTTCCTTTTCTTTTCTCTTTTCCTTTCTTTTCTTTTCTTTAAGACAGAGTCTTGCTGTGTCGCCAGGCTAGAGTGCAATGGTGCAATCTCAGCTCACTGCAACCTCCGCCCCTCAGGTTCAAGCAATTGTTCTGCCTTAGCCTCCCGAGTAGCTGAGATTACAGGTGCCCACCAGCACACCCAGCTAATTTTTTGTATTTTTGGTAGAGACGGGGTTTCACCATGTTGGTCAGGCTAGTCTTGAATTCTTGACCTCAGGTGATCCACCCCTGTCAGCCTCCCAAAGTGCTGGGGTTACAGGCGTGAGCCATTGCGCCTGGCCTATTTTTCAACTTTTCATTATGAACATTTCTAAACATACCGGAAAAGTTGAAAGAACAGTTCAGTGAACACCCTTATATGCTCCATCTAGATTCAGTAACTGTTAACATTTGCTGTACTTGAGTTGAGCTTGTTTTCTTGTGCCTGTGTACTTTGTGCATTTTTTTTTTTTTTTTTTTGAGACGGAGTCTCGCTCTGTCGCCCAGCTGGAGTGCTGTGGCCGGATCTCAGCTCACTGCAAGCTCGCCTCCGGTTCAGCCATTCTCCTGCTCAGCCTCCAGGTAGCTGGACTACAGGCGCCCCACCTCGCCGGCTAGTTTTTGTATTTTTAGTAGAGACGGGTTTCACCGTGTTAGCCAGGATGGTCTCGATCTCCTGACCTTGTGATCCGCCCGTCTCGGCCTCCCAAAGTGCTGGGATTACAGGCTTGAGCCACCGCGCCCGGCACTTTGTGCATTTTTTTGTTAACTGTTTGAAAGTAAGTTTACGCCTCACTATATTTCAGCGTGTTTCTCCAAAGAATAAGCCCGTCCTACTTTATGGTACCATTGTACCTAAGAAAATTAACAGTGATTATCTAAGATTAATGATATTGAGCCCACATTAAAATTACCCCAGTTTATCCCATGTCTGTTATAATTCTTTTTCCCTAAACATATTCCACTCAAGGTTTATGTACTGCATTATGTTGTTTTTAGTCTCTTAATCTAGAAAATGTAGAATTAAAAAAGAAACTCCCTGTGATAAGACTTTGTGTCAAGTCCTTGGGAGTTTTTATATAGCGTGTCTCACATTCTGAACTTGTCCGAACTTTTTTTTAAGGTGCTGTTTGACTTGTTCCTCTATCCTTGGTATTCCCCATGAACTGGAATTTAGGTCCAGAAACTCAGTTAGATTTAGCATAAACATTCTTGAGGTGCAAATTCTTCCTGAGTGATGGTGTGTACCTTATATGCCATCACCTGGGAAGCTCAACATGGCATCACCTGGGAAGCTCAGCATGGCAGCTTGCCCTACCCTTAGGGATGCCAAATTTGATGCTTGGTTGAGATGGCAACTGCCAGACTTCCATTATAAAGGTACTTTTTTTCTGTTTGCAGAAGTAATTCATATGTGGGATGTATGGTACTGTAGTATTGTGTGTCAATGTCCTGTTTCCCAAGTATTATCCTTGGGATATACTTTTTACCCAGTGGTTTTAGGCATTCGTTGATAATCTCTGCCTGAAGCACTTATTCTATCAGGGGTCCGAAAATGGTAGTTTTCTGATTCTGTCCTCCCTTCTACATTTATTAGCCAAAGCCATTTAAAAATACATTGACATTCTGCGACCCACATGTCAACGTGAGAGTAGTGCTTTGTGAGGTGATCAGGTTAGCAAAACAGCTTGATAACCTTTTTGTGTGTTTCGGGAGCAAGAAATGATAAATGTGGATCCATCAGGTTTTTTCCTAGTCTTTTTAGTGGGGAAATGCAATTCCTTGTTTATCACCCCCCGACCCCTCCTATATCAGGAGGATGTCCTTTTTGGATCACCAGGTACCACATGCCCTTTGAGTCGCCCAGTTGGTGGTGTGACATATGTTACCATTTGTTCTTCCTTATGTCTCTGGCAAGGCCAGGGAGTTAAAACAAGTGTGAAATGGTTGTTATTTTAGCTTTCTTTTAAAGAGTCTTTAAAGCTAACGTTAAACTTTCAGCCATGAATTATGTAGCTCAGCGAAAGCCCTCTTTATAGCTGTATAGTAATAGGCCCTTGGATTTTTATCACAGAGAAAACCTGACGTAGACATACAGGTTCTTATTACAAATCTGATACCATTCATAAAACAAAACAATCTTTGAATTAAAGCCAGTCCAGCAAATCAGTGAACTCCAGGTTTATTTGCTAAAATTTATTGGCCAACATTTTGCCAGTGTATAGGTAAGGAGGCTGAACCTTGGGCGATCCCATGGCCTGGGTTTGAACCCATGTCTCTGACCACTGATCCCTGTGCTGTTTGTATTAGACCTTGCTGTAGACAGGGACCTGGGGACCAGGAGAGAGGGCTTCCCTGAGTGTGGGGCTGTGTGAGTTGAGCTCACCTTTTGGTTTCTTTTCTGGGAATGCTGAGCCCACATGTTTTTTCCCTCAGCTCTCTTTAAGAACTGTGACCTGATGTGGAAGCAGAGCATATGGACCTCAACCATCTCCAGCCATCTGGCTACCAAGCATCTCAAGGAAGGAGGCCTCCTGACCTTGGCTGGCGCAAAGGCTGCCCTGGATGGGACTCCTGGTAAGCCTTTATTTCCCCATCTGTGAAGTGGGGGTGCTTACCTTGCTTGCTGGGGCTGCTGGGCACTTCATGGGATGAGGATTGTTAAAGCCTTTACCCTCTAAGGTGCTTCATAGATGGATGGATTTTGCCTTCTTTTGGGCCTGAATCATTTTAGGGAGAAGAGTTCCGATCTTTTGTTTGCCTGTCCTCGTGTTTATGGTGGTAAGGAACACTGTGATCTGGCACCCCCCATTTAGTGTATTTATCTGTGATCTACACTGGAATGAATGGTGTAGTGGAAATTAATCAACATGGATTATTAGTATCACATTGTATCCATGTGTTCCAGGGAAGCAGCTTAGCAGCTGGAAATAGCATAGGTTTTAGAATGAGAGAGGTTCGTTTGGCCAGTACGGTGGCTCACACCTGTAATTCCAGCACTTTTGGGAGGCCGAAGCAGGAGGATTGCTTGAGCCCAGGAGTTCAAGACCAGCCTGGGCAACATAGTGAGCCCCTGTCTCTACATTAAAAAAAAAAAAAAAGGGAATGAGAGGGTTGAGGGTGGATTCTTTACCCTGGATGTGTGACCCTGAACCAGTTCTTCGGTCTCTGACCAGATGTCTACTCTAGTTTCCTTAATTGTAAAATAGTGACAATGACATCTAACTTGAAGAGTGCTGTAAAACTGTAGAGGTGTTGCTATGTAGAAAGTCCACATGGTAGGCACCCATAAGTGGTAAGTCTTACTGTTATTCACAATAAATGGTAGGTCTTATAAAAGTCTTCACTCTTTTCACTTCACATATATTCTCACTTTAATCTCATCAATATTATCTTTTTCAGTTTACAGGTTAGGAAACTAAAACTTGGAGAGTTAAGTAACTTGTCTGAGTTTGTGCAGTAAGTAAGTTGCAGACTGACTCGAACCAAAACCCTAATAATTTACCAACTGTGTGCTTTTTCCATTATGTCATTTCTTTTGCATTTTTTATGACCGGTATTAATTTGCTTGGGTGGCTTAAACAACAGAGATTTATTTTCTCGTAACTCTAGAGGCTAAAAGTCTGGAGATCAAGGTATCCGCGGGGCTGGCTCCTTCTGAATCCTCTTATAGATGGCTGCCTTCTCCTTTTGTCTGCACGTGGTCTTCCCTCTGCGTGTCTGTGTCCTCGTTTCCTCCTCTTTTAAGGACACCAGGCATGTTGGACTAGGGCCCACCTTAATGAGCTCATTTTGACTTTGTTGCCTCTTTAAAGACCTTCAAATACAGTTACATTCTGAGGTACTGGGAATTAGGACTGCAATATATGAATGTTGGGGGGATGCATTTCAGCCCGTAACACTCCCTATGGGATAGGGCTAAAGGAATTTCAGCTGGCGTAGAAAGCGGCAGCATAGGGAGGCAGGAAGTGTCTGCCTGAACTATCTAAGTTGAACTCTTCTTTAAGAAAAATGGGAGCTTTCTTTGACTCTCTAGTAAGTGGTAGAGACCTTGGGACCCTTCTCAGTTATTTATTTTTTTAGAGACAGGGTCTCTCACCCAGGCAGGAATGTAGTGGTACGATCCTAGCTCACGGCAGCTTGGAATGCCTGGGCTCAAGCAGTCCTTTGCCTTGGCCTCCTGAGTAGCTGGGACTGCAGGCACACACTGCCATGCCTGGCTCATTTTTCTATTTTTGGTAGAAACAGGGTCTCGCTATGGTGCCCAGGCTGGTCTCAAATTCCTGGCTTCAGGTGATGCCCTTGCCTTGTCCTCCCAGAGCACTGAATATTACCGGCACGAGCCACTACGCCAGGCTCCTTCTCAATTTAAATGTAACTCACCGAACTGTGAGGCCGTGACTGCTAGCAATACCTTGCCTCTCATTTTCTTCTTCCGTTTCTTAGAGCGTGTGATGTTACAAGTCCGTGGCCGTAGCAATCATTAAAGCTGTGTAAATGTTAGCTGTCTGGTTGGTTGAGATCTGATTTTTATTTTAGATGACATGGGCAGAGGCACTAGAAAGTAAACAGAGAAAGGAGTCATAGCTTGACATTTAAAAAAAACAAAACCCTAGGATGGAAAGACTGGTTTTTCTTTTTTTCTTTTTTTTTGATGAGGAGGAAGAGAGTTTTATTTTCTGCAGGGAGGAGGCCTGGAAATGATCACCAGACCAACTCAGAATTACAGAATTTTCCAGAGCTTATCTACCTTCTAAGCTATATGGAAAGACTGATTTTTCTAAATGACAGAAGAGTCTCCTACTTTCCTTTGGTTTGCAAGTATCCTTTGATTACATTTTGGGTAGTGGTTAAGACTGTAGGGTCTGGAACCATGCACATTGGTCTTCTGGTAAGGCTCTGCCACTTACTGACACATTTGGTAAGTTACTTCGCCTTTCTGAGCCTCCGTTTTGTTATCTATAAAATAAGGTTAAATAATATCTCCTTTATATATATGCTGGTTGTGCCTTGTAAATGTCTTAATGGATCTAAACGGACGAGAAAGGTATTACAGAGAGTCAACAGTAAGTGTGAGCCATTATTATTATTTACTCCAGGCTTATTTCTGCCCAGCTTTTCCTGCCTCAGATGTTAATGAATTTGTTCATCTCTAAGCTCTTAAGTTAGATTTTGTTAAGCTATTAATAATTTGAGTCATGAGATCTTTTAAGTATGCTGCAGACCTCAGAAAAATCTGGGGAAATTGATCTACAATTTGAAAGTAAACGATGAATCAGGATTAATAGTCCCTCAAACTCAAGAAGATTTGTTCGCACATGAGAAGTTTTTCACTTGGAAGGATACGGAGAAAACCTCACCCTCCTATTTCCAAAGTTGTATTTCTAGACTGTCTAATGTAGGATAAACTATTAAAATGGTGGTCACTTTTGTTTACCATTAAAGGATCTGTGCTGTGATTGGAAATCACTTTTGGGGGACCTCATCGATTATTTAATAATTTGGAAGTGTTGGCCTTCTTAGTGAAATGCCTTTTTTCCATATCTTGCAAATAACTCCTTTTGTGTGTCCAAGGAAAGGCCATTCTGTAGAATTAGGACATTACGGTTGCCATTTGCTTGTTTCTTTCCTTCGTTAGAGTCCCTGCTCTTGTGTTGTGTTGTTTGAATGGAGTGAAGAGAGCACTCTGGGACTTTGAGGACCAGGGCTGGATTAATGAGCACTTATGCCCTGGTTTATTTTGTTTTATTTTATTTTATTATTATTATTTTTTTGAGACGGAGTCTTGCTCTGTCGCCCAGGCTGGAGTGCAGTGGCTGGATCTCAGCTCACTGCAAGCTCCTCCTCTCGGGTTCATGCCATTCTCCTGCCTCAGCCTCCCGAGTAGCTGGGAATACAGGCGCCCGCCACCTCACCCGGCTAGTTTTTTGTATTTTTTAGTAGAGACGGGGTTTCACCGTGTTAGCCAGGATGGTCTCGATCTCCTGACCTCGTGATCCGCCCATCTCGGCCTCCCAAAGTGCTGGGATTACAGGCTTGAGCCACCGCACCCGGCCGCCCTGGTTTATTTTAATCACTGAAGAGTTTGTTATGTTTTTATACCGCCCCCTGATTAAACAGAGAAGCTAGGGATGGTGAAATATTCTTCTTGTGCTTCCAAATAGCTCTTTGAGACCTTGACCTTCTTTTGCAATTTGAGGTGGTTGTTGAAGCAGTTTTGTGATTGGTTCCTTGGCTGGGCTGTGATCCTCCCGCCTCCTGCTGGACCTGTGATGCCTCCACAGCGATTACATTTTAAACAGTGTGTGTGCCGAGGATTTTAGGGAGGCCTATGACCTCTAGAAGAAACAGTGGTTTTCAGAAGGTGGAGAGGTTTACAGTGATTCACCCTTCTTCTTGTTGCTGTGATAGCAGCATTTAGCGAGCAGCTACGGTTGGGTGCAGTGGGGGACCATAAAGAGGAAAGAGACCTCATTCCTGCCACATGCCTGCAGGGCAGAGGGAAACCTACCCTGATAAAAGGCAACCCTTGATTCAGTCAGCAAATAGTCATCAAATAGTGGGAGGAAAGGAAGACCAATCGGTAGCAGGTATACACAATGTCAAAATCTGCTCAAATGGTACACCCTAAACATGTTTAAGTGTGTTGTATTTCAGTTATACTTCCATAGACTTGGAGAAAAAGGAAGAAATCTTTTTAGGCATCTGTCTCCTGGGTGCTTGGCTTGTCGGGCTAAGCTTGATCTTATTTCATCACCAGAGGTGTCTGTAAAGTAGGTGCTATTCTTTTCCCTTGATTATAGAGGGAAAAAACCAAAGTTCAGTGATTTTAGGTGCTTTCTGTAAGACAACCTGGCTAGTCAGTAGCAGATGGGTCTGAGTAATAAATTGATCAGTAATTAATATGTAATTATAATCAGTAATTATAACAATTACTGATAATATAATTATGTTGAGATAATTTTATAGTTATATTGAAATAATATAATTATATTGAGAGCCTTCTCTGGGCAGCAGGTGTGCGGGTGGTGTGAGTGTGAGACTGGGCTAAATTACGGTCTAAGCAGAGTGCTCCTGGCGGGGTGAGTCCACCTCTGAAAAGGTTTTGTTGAGGGAGCTGATTCAAATAGGGTCTTGGAAAAGGACTTGCTTTGACAAGTAGTGCTTATGGGAAAAGCTAAGAAGGCACTGTCTTCGTTTTTATTTAAGTAATTTAATTAATCAATTTTTAAGTTGGAAAACTAACCAATGCATGTAGTAAAAATTCACTTGGCACTAAAAGAAACACAATGAATAGGAAGACGCTCTCCTACTCACACCCCTGATCTCTATGGCACTCCCTCCCAGACCCAACTACAGTGGTGGCTTCTTGGGTGTCCTTCTGGAAGCATTCTGTGCCATTCTACTGTGCGCCCATGCCATACTCATATACTTTTTAAAAAGCACCATAATTTGGCAGAGTGCGATGGCTCATGCCTGTAATCGCAGCACTTTGGGAGGCCACAGTGGGCGGTTCACCTGACTTCGAGACCACCCTGGCCAACATGGTGAAACCCCGTTTCTACTAAAGAATACAAAAATAATCAGGCATCATGGCAGGCACCTGTAATCCTAGCTACTCAGGAGGCTGAGGCAGGAGAATCGCTTGAACCTGGGAGGCGGTGGTTGCAGTGAGTCGAGATTGTACCACTGCACTCCAACCTGGCGACAGAGTGAAATTCTGTCTCCAAACAAACAAAAAAAGAGGCTGAGGTGGGAGGATTGCTTGAGCCCTGGAGGTCAAGGATGCAGTGAGCTGAGATTGCACCATTGCACTCCCGCCTGGGCAACAGAGTAAGATTGTCTCAAAAAAAAAAAAAAAAAAAAAACCCCAAAATTTGATGACTCAATAGAGGCTTTTCTGTGCTTTACTCTTTTCACTTCATCATAGATTAAATAATTTAAAAGTTAGTTTGTCTGGAGTATTGAGAAACTCATGAGTTACTGAGAATCACCTACCATAGTTTCAATGAGCAGAGCTACCAGTTTGTTCGTTTTGTTTTTTTGTTTTTTGAGACGGAGTTTTGCCCTCGTTGCCCAGGCTGGAGTGCAATGGCGCAATCTTGGCTCACCACAACCTCTGCCTCCTGGATTCAAGCAGTTCTGCTCCCTCAGCCTCCAGAGCAGCTGGGATTACAGGCACGCACTACCACCCCCAGCTAATTTTGTATTTTTAGTAGAGACGGGGTTTCCCCATGTTGGTCAGGCTGGTGTTGAGCTCCCAACCTCAGGTGATCCACCGGCCTTGGCCTCCCAAAGTGCTGGGATTACAGGTGTGAGCCACCGTGCCTGGCCCCAGTTTGTTTTTTCATTCCCACCGTTTTGGAGTGCCCACCATTTGATTAAGCCCCATTATCCTCCTTTGAGAAACCCACGTATTGCTCTTTTCTGAAAGCAATGAATAAAATATTTATTTATTTATTTATTTTACTTTTTTTTTTTTTTGGAAACATGGTCTGGCTCTGTCACCCAGACTGGAGTGCAGTGGCATGATCTTGGCTCACTGCAGCCTCGACCTCCTGGACTCCAGCCATCCTTCCACCTCAGCCTGCTGGGTAGCCGAGACTACAGGTGCGCGCCATCACACCTGGCTGATGTTTGTATTTTTTGTGGAGACAGGGTTTCGCCATGTTGCCCCGGCTGGTCTCAAACTCCTGGGCTCAAGAGATCCACTTGCCTCAGCCTCCTAAACTGCTGGGATTACAAGCCTGAACTACCTCACCTGGCCAAATAAAGTATTTATTGAATGCCACCTTTTGATTTGGGATACATTGGTAAACAAAACAATGAAAATCCCTGTCTCTGTGGAACTTACTTTCTTCTGGGAATGAAAGAGCCCTTTCGAGTTCATGAGGCGTGTCACGTTTCACGTCGTCTTCAGGAAAGCCTATGACCTGGCCATGAGATCCCATTTACCAGGGAAGAAGCAGAGGCTGAAAGAGCTGCTCGCCCAAGTCGCAGTGGCGAGGAAACACCTGGGTTCCAAGCCCTGGCCTTGAAGTCCAGATTCTGGGTTCTTTCTGGTGTGCCGTGCCGTGCCTGGGAGCCAGAGAGCTGCCTTGTGCTTCTTTGTCTTTCTAACACTGAGCCTAGGGATTCCCACATGGAAGAGGCTCCGTGACATGGGGTGTGGTAAGCGGGTTTTGATGCCCGGGAGCAGGTGGTCCATGGCTGCCCCTTTCCAGACTCTGGCTTTATAGGCAGCAGAGTGATGGCAGGTTGGTTTGATGGTGTTAAGGCCAGAGTTGTCACCTTCCCAATGATGTCACAGTCCTTCCATCGCTGATAAGGAAGGAAATGCCCCTGATGGGCCGCAGATGACTGCTTGAGCTGGAGAGGAATCATGCATTGTAATATGAATAATGATGAGCTGGGAGGGTGGGAGAAGCATCACCCGCTCCGTGCTGCAGTCACTGGGAGAACATCTCCCTGGCAAGGTGCTGAGCAAAGCCATTGCTACACCAGGCTGGGCTCCCTCCGCACTGATCGGGTTCTGTGCGTGCCCTCCATGGTTTCCAACGCCCTTCTTGGATGCGGTCTCCCGCCATCCTCAGCATGGCCTTGTGAATAAATTGTGATCTGAGTTACCGCTCCCATTTACAGACGGAAAAAGCAGGCCTACAGAACCTATGAGTTTTTTTGGTGGCTGGAAAAGCAGGTGTTAGGGCTGCACTTTTTGAATTCCAAGTTGACGACCCTTTTTGCAACTCCTTATTGCTGTCCGTGGAAAAAGAGTTGCCAGTGACCTGCTGAGAGTCATGAATGACAATAATGGCCAGGACTGAGTGTTCCTCTGTGCTCAGTACTGTACAAAGGGGATTTGTTAACCTGAAAAAAAAAAAAATCAATGGAGCTTTATTACTTGACATAATTAAGGAGGATGCTGGAAGTATTCTCCAAAGCAGTGTCTCTCCCAGGAGGGTTTCCTGGGGTGATGGAGAGGGGAGAGGGTGTGTCACGGCATGTGGAGAAGGTCCCAGGGGCACAGATGCAGTGAGTCATCACGCCAGCACATAGTCACATGTTCTGGTGATGAAGCTGTAGCATGGTAATGAGGAAAGTCCACTTGGGATCATCTGTAAGTTGCTGGTTTCACCTGACTAGTTGACTACATTCCATGCAAGTTGTGGGAAAAACCAGGCTGTGAAACAGGCTGATTGTTCAAGCTGTTGAAACTCCTGTAGTCCCTGGAGACCCTCCCTGTCTGCTACACTTGTACATGGTATTTTATTTGATTGTTGTTAGGATTTGGGATTGCCATTCTCTTTTCATGGAGTGGGAAACTGAGGATTCCAAGGTTTAGTAGCCTCTCCCAGAGTCAGTCACTAGCAAGCAGCAGAGCCTGGACACAAAGCCAGGTAGTCGAGTTCCAGGGCACATTTCTTCTGTTGATTTGATGGGAAACATTCATTGAGTGCCTGTCCTGTGCTAAGGGTGTGCTCGGAATTAAGTACTCTATTCCTGTGTGTCGTAATGAGCCCCTCTGGATCACACCTGAGTTTATACTGATAAGGTGATTAGTAGGTTGAGGCCCCTAGACAGCCTCAGGATGGAGCTACCTCCTAGAATGATCAAGCGATTAGGCGGTTAGAAATTTCAGCTCCACTTACCAACGTCCTGGAAGGGAGTGGGGCTGGAGATTAAGCTGTACAAAGCCTTCCAGATGTGATGAGTGTCTGGGTTGAACACATGGAGGCGCTGGGAGGGTGGCGTGGTTGGAGCAGTCATGGAAGTTCCATGCCCACCCCCTCTCCTACGCTGCCTCTGTGTCATTCCACCTGGCTGCTCCTGAGTTGTATCCTTTTATTATAATAAACCGGGAACTATTAAAAAAAAAAAAAAAAGTGTTTGCCTGAGTTCTTCCAGCCATTCTAGCAAATTATTGCACCCGAAGAAGTTGTTGTGCAAACCCCCGATTCAGCCTGTTGGTCAGAAGTCTAAGTGGCCCAGGACTTGTGACTGGCATCTGAAGTACGGTCGGTCTTGTGAGACTGAGCCCTTAAATCGGACTGGAGTACAGTGACATGATCATAGCTAATTGCAGCCTTGACCTCCCCCAGGCTCAAGTGAACCTCCCACCTCAGTTTCCCAAGTAGCTGGGACCACAGGCATGTGCCACCAGGCATGGCTAATTTTTGTAGAGATGGGGTCCCACTATGTTGCCCAGGCTGGTCTTGAACTCTTGGGCCCAAAGGATTCTCCCGCCTCAGCTTCCCAAAATGCTGAGATTAAAGGCATGAGGTACCACACCTAGCCGGGAGTTCTAAGTGAATTGTCAGACACCCAGTTGGTGTCTGGAGACTTAGAGAATTGTGTTGGAAAACACCTCAAACCCATTTTACAGATGCAGCAACTGAGGATTAGAGAGGTTTTGGGAACTTGCCCAGAATTTCTTTAGTGGTAAATGGAGGAACTGGGACTTGAATGTGTCTAATTTGACCTCAAGGCCTGTGTTACAAATAACTGCTTGATTTTGCTGTCCCATTAAGTGCCTCTGTGTGCCAGGTGCTCACCAGCATTTAGTGATCAGAGGGTTCAGAACCCAGTTCTTGCCTGGGCTTTAACCTCTCCATCAGCTTTGGCACACGTTTGTGTGTGAGCCTGGCATGTACTCAACCTGTCTGAGTCTTGGTTTCCTAAGAATAAAAATAAGATCAACCTTTTGGCTTGTGTAATAAATGTTAAGTGTTAGATGCATAGTAGGTACACTTGAAATGTCATGTCCCCTTCACTTTCTCCCCATAAATGTTCATTTATCTTTTCTTCCTGGCCTCTTCCGGACCCTGGAATGCTGCACCTTGGACGTACTGGTGGCCTGTGTGAAGCCTGTGTTCTTGGAAACTGGCCAGAGGCCATAACTCCCAACCCACCTATTCCCATCCCCTCTTCCTCATGGCTCTTTGCCATTTTTTGGTGGGGGTTGGTGAGGGCGTCCGGCCTGGAGGAGGCCAGACACAGCTATTTATAAAGTTTTCAGGGACGAGAGATCTCAAGAGAAGATTGCATGTCCTTGCTGTCCCCCTGGCCGCCAGTGGTCACTAAGCCATCTTCTCCCCATTTCCCAGGTATGATCGGGTACGGTATGGCCAAGGGTGCTGTTCACCAGCTCTGCCAGAGCCTGGCTGGGAAGAACAGCGGCATGCCGCCCAGGGCAGCCGCCATCGCTGTGCTCCCGTAAGTGCTTGGGGTTCCCTGGCCACTACCCACCTCTGCCCCACTGCTGCGGGTGACCGTTTGTCTGACTGTAGCTTTCCACAAGTGACCTGTGTGTGTTCTCACCTCGGGCTCTGAAACACACCAAAGTCTCTTAGGATATTTATTATCTTAATCTGTTTGAATTGCTCTAACAAAATACCTTAGACTGGGTGATTTATAAGGAGCGGAAATGGATTGCTTACCGTTCTGGAGGCTGGGAAGTCCAAGATGAAGGCGCCAGCAGATTTGGTGCCTGGCAAGGGCTCATTCCTCACAGATGGCGACTTCTATATGTGCTCACATGGTGGAAGGGGCAAATGGGCTTCCTCCAGCTTCCTTTCTAAGCATGCTAATCCCCTCCTAAAGGCCCCCAATTGTCTCCTGCAGACCCCACCTCTCAATATGATTATGTTGCAGATTGCATTTTGTATGTGAGTTCGAGGGGGATACGTTCAGACCATAGCAATACTTCAAGTTTTGGGTTCTCCTGGGCTGTCCAGAATGTTTGATTGGCTGGTTGGATGGGTCTGTCTTTTTTGCCTCTTTTTTTCCTCTCCTTTTCTTTTCTCCCTTCATTATTTCTTCTTTTAAAATTAGACCACACATGTTATTTTTTTTATATGTAGCTCTGTCTTTCAAGTCATTATATGGCGTATGGGTGTGTGAGAGAGAGAGAGAATATGGGAACCTGTTGGAGGTGTTTCTGTTGGCCATCAGGGGATAGTCCCCCATCAGCCATCCCAGGCAGAGGCAGCTGCTTTGGAGGGAGGCTGTTTCTTCTCACTGGAAGGCTTCTAGCACCAGCAGGCTTGCCTCTTGCCTGTGGTCGTATTATAAAGGGATGCTGAGACTGTAGGGACTACACTGATTAACTTTCTGGTTCCCTTTTAGTTGTGAGGTTCTGTGATTCTGTGACATGATTCCCACAGCTGTTTTGAATGATTCGAATGATTCCTGAGGCCCGAATGTTCTTGGGAGATTCATGCATATCTGAATTCTCTATTCTCCTGCCAAAAATCTTAAGGTTTTGTGGAAAATAGCCACATATTTAAAATTTTAGTACTTCAGTATTCTCATATTGAAAGGCATATTACTACCTTAAATCCTTAGAAATGAGTGTGCTACATGTTAGGGAGTGAACAAAGACACAGCAACAAAGCAGTTTAATTCAGTGAAGACTCTTTTTAAAAAAGGCAAAATGTGGCTCCTTCTGTTTTGTTCTTATCTGCCTAAATGGTGAGCCACAGCGCACCTTATTGAATTATGCTCAGATCTGGCCTTTGCTAGCGGGGACAGCTTCCTGCTCTCTCTCTGCTTATCTTTCTGGCTGATCTTTCCATGTAAATAGCACCCTCGGTGCCAGAGGCTCTAGGTTGTCATGCTGTATGTTTGCGTTTTCCTGGCCAAGGACTGGGCACCTGTTGTTATAAAGGGGCGACATGAATGACGTGCTTATCTGTGTCCATTGCAGGGTTACCCTGGATACCCCGATGAACAGGAAATCAATGCCTGAGGCTGACTTCAGCTCCTGGACACCCTTAGAATTCCTAGTTGAGTGAGTATTATAGTCATGTCCATGACTGAGCAGCTTCCAGCCCCTATTCTCTGCCTTGCTGTGGTCCAGAGGGCAAGTCTGTGTTCCCTGAGGTCATCAGGGTGGTCTTGGGAGGTCTCTGGGACTCATCGCCCATCAGACGGAATCTCAGGGTAGCTGGACTTGAAGACAGGCAGCAGAGTGGTGGAATGGGTAGTGCCGATGTGAATCCTGGCTCCCTCCCTCCCCAACGACCACGCTGAGCACATTATTGACCTGCTGAGGCCTTAGTTCCCCCACCTGGATCATGAGGTCCATCGTGCTTGTTAGGAGGATTAAATGTGATAGTGTGTGCCAAGCACTCGGCACAGTGTCTGGCCATAGCAAGTGTTCAGTGATCCCCAGCTGCAGTTTGTGTCGATACTGCTGTGACGAGGAGCCTCCACGGGGGAGGGGGACACCAGGTGGATGGCCTGGGGCACATGTCTGAATCAGTGTCGAGCCACAGACCCACAGAAAGAGCCCTTTATTTCCGAAATCCTTTTCGCCCATTTGTGAATATGGGTGGCATTTGAACGCTCATGAAACAGAGAGCTGAATTCCTCTTTTGTGTTTGTTTAGGTGTCAGTTCCCCAAGCCCCTCTAGTTAGTAAGCATGTGTTCATCGAGCACCCGCTATGGGCCAGGCGCTGCCCTCGGCCCTGGGGTCAGGACGAAGATGGGATCCCTGCTCTCATGGAGCAGGGGGGCCGAGAGGGTCACGGTGACAGCCTGACCCAGCCGTGCCTCTGTGTAAACTGCTTTGACTGTTTGTCAGAGATGTTTGTGAATATACCAGTGTGCTTCTGGCCTGATGTTACAATCTCATTTAAATTCAATCGGGAGAAATTTGGGACTTGCATTTTATGTTTGAAACATGTACTTACAGAGCACTTTTTATGTCCCGGCCACCATTCTAAGCACTTCATAACTCTGATTTAATGCTCATAGCAAACTCTGAGGGAGGAGCTGTCTGTCATTTTTGTTTAAGGCTTAGAGACTTGGAGGGATGGCAGGGGCTAAGTCACTTGCCTAAGGTCACACAGCACAGCCAGGATCTGACGCAAGTGGTGTGGCTGCAGAGCCGATGGTCTTAACTGGTCTGCTGATAGTTATTTCTGTCTATGCCAGGAATCATGCTAATGCTTGATTTGCAGGAAAAAAATTGAAGTTGTAGAGGAAATCAAGCTTTGAATCGTGTTTGTGTTTGAATTTCTTTTTAAAGGCCGACACTCCCAACCATGCTTGAGATATTGATCTAAGACCTAGACTCTAGATGGAACATCTGGGGTCTTGTGTCTGAACTCGTGCTGAGCCACAGACCCACAGAGGATGGGCTGTCACAGGCCCCTTTGTTCTAGACCCATTTGTGGTATTTGAAAACTCTCAGAAAAGTTGGCATAAAGTTTGCTTTGAGATGTCGGCGAGCACATCCTTCTTCTACCATCCCCGGTTAGAATGGCATTCTCTCTCACCTATCCACGCTGCAGATGAGGGTGAAGGAGAAGTAACACCATTTAAAACATGCATTGCAGCAAACCAACGTGGCACATGTATACCTGTGTAGCTAACCTGCATGCTGTGCACATGTACCCTAGAACTTAAAGAATAAAAAAAAAAAACAACAAAAAAACATGCGTAACCAACACACAAAACCCTACACATCAAAACAGCACTGGTCTCTTTCAGAGCCTTCCCTCAGCAAGCCCTGCCCTGTCCCCAGAGATGAGACCGTGACACATGACAGTACTTTAGAGAGTTTTAGCAAGGCTTTGTTTTTTGAGCCCATGTGCTCAAATGAGCTCATTCAAACCCCAGAGTAGGGGCCTGAATGACTGGACCTTCAGACATCAGCGCTGGCCAAGAAAGTTCCAGATCGGCCCTAGGAGTCTCCCGGGAAGGAGCTGCTGAGCACTTTCCAGTTAATGAAGGTCCGGAGTCTCAGCTGGTGCATTTTCAAAATGGATGATGTACTCAAATGTAAATGTTTTGTGTTAAAGAATTATCATTCACTTCTTGTTTCTTGTGAATTTCTTTTGCCCTTTTTAATTCCTGTCTTCTTACAGGGCGTTTTTGACTGCCGCAAGTGGGGTCAGTTGCTCCTCTCCTCAGATTTGTGAAATGCCCCTGTTACCGTATTTAACATTTTATTGTAATAGTCTGTTTTTTTGTATCTCTTTTTCCATTGTTTGGCGCAGCGGCGGGTACTCTATAAATATTTGATTTAAAAAATGCCAAATAAATGAATTCTGTCTGTTTCTTTCATAAATTTCTGAGAAGGTAATATAGCGAAGTATTGTGCATATGTCTCTCTCTTTGAATGAACTAATTAAAATCTTTAAAAACAATTTTTTTTTCTTTTTGAGACAAGGTCTCACTCTGTCACCCAGGCTAGAGTGCAGTGTCATGATCACGGCTCACCCCAGCCTTGATCTTTGGGGCTCAAGCAATTGTCCCACCACAGCCTCCTGAGTAGCTGGGACTACAGGCATGTGCCACCATGCCCAGCTATTTTTTGTATTTTTTTTAGAGGTGGGGTTTCACCCGGTTGCCCAGGCTGGTCTCAAACTCCTGGGCTCAAGTGATCCACCTGCCTCAGCCTCCCAAATTGCTAAGATTACAGGTGTGAGCCACCACGCCTGGCCAAATTAAAATCTTTTAAAATCACAAAAGAATGCCAACAAAGTAGAAAAATACCAAAATGAAAGTTAAATTCATGCCAAATCCTGCCACTCAGAGACTACAATGAGTATACCACTGAACTCACTGGAGGCCTCAGTATGTGTCCATCATGCCTACTGGCTTTTATTTATTTTTTATTACTTTTTTGGAGACAGGGTCTTGCCATTGTGTCCTGGCTGGTCTCAAACACCTGGGCTCAAGCGATCCTCCTGCCTTGGCCTCCCAAAGTGCTGGGATCACAGGTGTGAGCCATAATGCCTGACCTTTAGTGGCATTTATTTATTTATTTATTTATTTATTATGTTTTGTGAGATGGAGTCTCACTGCGATGCCCAGGCTGGAGTGCAATGGTGCAACCTCAGCTCACTGCAACCTCTGCTTCCCGGGTTCAAGTGATTCTCCTTCCTTAGCCTCCCAGGTAGCTAGGATTACAGGCACATGCTGCCATGGCTAATTTTTGTATTTTTAGTAGAGATGGAGTTTCATCATATTGGCCAGGCTGGTCTCGAACTCCTGACCTCAAGCGATCTGCCCACCTCAGCCTCCCAAAGTGTTGGGATCACAGGTGTGAGTCATGGCGCCCAGCCCTTAGTGGCTTTTAAACAGTCGCTGCTGTGCCACCCCTTTCCCCCACCCCACAAGCCGTCATTGTGAATGTCAGCATGTGTCCAGATTTTTGCTTTGAGAATGTAAAAAAACTTTTCTTTTTTGTTCCAGAACCTTCCATGACTGGATCACAGGGAAAAACCGACCGAGCTCAGGAAGCCTAATCCAGGTGGTAACTACGGAAGGAAGGACGGAACTCACCCCAGCATATTTTTAGGCCTCATCTCAGTGCCTGTGAGGGGCCTGCCAGAAAAGTCACTAACCCGTTTCAGTGTGGCCTTGTCCAGCCTTGTGTTTTCTGTAACCCCTGTTTGTGGAACGAGATAATGAGTCCTATTTTTCTCTCACGTAACGTGCATTTGCTCTCCTAGGACAGTGTAATACGTTTATGTGAAGTGAAAACATGCAAGACTGGTGGCCTGCAAATAGCATCCGTCAATCTGTGTTAACTGCATAGGGAGGGCTCTGCATAGTCCCTGCCATGGCGGTGTCATGTTGGATCGCTTTCGAGACTGTTTATCTGTCCTTGACAGTGGCTGTCATCTTGACTACTTTGTTGGTTTGTTGGTATTGGGGACATTTGAAAGGCTGAGTTATTTTTGAATGTCATGTTTATGTCATAGACGTAGTTTTCGCAGCCTTGAATTAAACTGCCTTAAAACTCCTTTTGTGGTATAAGCAAGATTCCATGGACCCTGTCCTGGTATCCTTTTCCTGTGTGGTTGCCCCGTGTCCTCTGGCCTAGGGTTAAGTGTGCAAGATGACTACTTGTGAGTATTCAGAATGTTGTTCCTAATACATGCACTTGTTGTCCGTCTTCTTTAATCAAATCACGTCTTATATACAGCAGTCAGAGATGAGTACACTAGAATCATGGATTGCTGGAGGTCTTTTAATCTGGTGTTCTCAGAAGGGGGTGGATTTAAATCCTGAAATAAATATTTCATCACAAGAACACAGGCCTGATTCTGCCTTGGACATGTCAAAATCTGGGGGTGATGGGATGGCCCTATGCATTTAGAAGCAACTCTCCACATATGGCCAATATAGGCTGTCCTGGTCAAGAACTAGCAGTGATTTAATCCAACCTGATCATTTTACAGATGAGGAAACTGAAGTCCGGAGAGACAGTACCTTGTTGCCAGTAAGCGGCAGAGCTAAACCCAGATCTCTAGGCACCACACAGTTACTGTTTTTAAAGGCCTTTACCACGTATTTTCTTTCTTTTTTTAGTGAGGTGAAATTCACATAAAATTAGCCATTTTAAGGCTAAGTTTAAGTATTAAAAGTTAAATAGGTGAGCAGTTTAGTGGCATTTAGCACATTTATAGTAGTGCATAATCAGCACCTCTGTCTAGTTCCCAAACATTTTCATCACCCCAAAAGAAAAACCAGCGCTGTTTAAGCAGTTCCTCCCCATTCCCACTCCCTAACCCCTGCAACCCCCAATCTGTATTTTGTTTTTGTGAATTAATTCTGGGTATTATCATTTTTTTGAGACAGTCTTGCTCTTTCTTGCCCAGGCTGAAGTGCAGCGGCATGAATATGACTCACTGTAGCCTTGACTTCCTGGGCTCAAGCAATCCTCCCTCCTTGGCCTCTCGAGTAGCCGAGACTACAGGCACGTGCTGCCATGCCCAGATATTTTTTAAAGTTTTTTTGTAGAGATAGGGTCTTGCTATGTTGCCCAGGCTGGTCTCAAACTCCTGGACTCAAGCAATCCTCCTGCCTTGTCTTCCCAAAGTGTTGGTATTACAGGCGTGAGCCATTGCACCTGGCCTGTTCTGGGTATTTTGTATAAATGGAATCGGTATGTGACCTTTTGTGTCTGACTCCTTCCACTTAGCTTAATGTTTTCCATGTTCTTCCCCATTGCATCATGTATCAGTTCTTTATTTCTTTTTGTGGCGTAGTAATATTCCATTATATGTAGCCACTGCAATTTTGTTGATCTACTGATCTGTAGATAGACACTTGGGCTGTTTCCACCTTTTGGCTGTTGTGAGCATTGCTGCTGTGAACATTGATGTGTAAGTGTTTGTGTATCTGTTTTCAATGATTTTGGATATACCTAGGAGCAGGATTGTTCCATCATGTGGTAACTTCAATGCTTAACTTTCTTTTTTTTTTGAGATGCAGTCTTGCTCTATTGCCCAGGCTAGAGTGCAGTGGTGTGATCTCAGCACACTGTAACCTCTACCTCCCAGGTTGAAGCAGTTCTCCTGCCTCAGCCTCCTGAGTAGCTAGGACTACAGGTGTCCACCACCACACCTGGCATTTTTTTTTTTTTTTTTTTTGGTATTTTTAGTAGAGACGGGATTTCACCACATTGGCCAGGCTGGTTTCAAACCCCTGACCTCCAGTGATCCACCTGCCTTGGCCTCCCAAAGTGCTTAGGATTACAGGTGTGAGCCACTGCGCCTGGCCTCTATGTTTCTTTTGAGAAGTCTCTTGATTCTTGCCACTATGAGGTTATTTTATCCAACTATTACAGGAAAGAAAATGGGAGCTCAGAAGGTCGGACTGGTTGTTCAAAGTCACCCAGCTAGAGAGCTGCACAGCTGAGACTAGTACACAAGTCTAGCTGTTGAGAGCACCCTGAGCACATTACCTCATGCCGTACCTTGCATGTCTTGTTGTTGTTTTCATTTTTCAGATGAAGAAACAGTTCCACACACTAAGAGACTTGCCGAGGGTACAGTTAGTTTCAGGAGAGCTGGTAGTTTTCATTCCGTATAGAACTGGACCTGATAATTATTGATTATCCTAATAAATGCACTTAATTTATTGTGCTTTTTTTTTTTTTTTTTTTTTTTTTTTGCGACAGAGTCTCGCTCTGTTGCCCAGGCTGGAGTACAGTGGCACGATCTCGGCTCACTGCAACCTCCGCCTCCCTAGTTCAAGCGATTCTCCTGCCTCAGCCTCCCAAGTAGCTGGGGACTACAGGCATGTGCCACCACACCCAGCTAATTTTTGTATTTTTAGTAGAGATGGGGTTTCACCACTTTGGCCAGGATAGTCTCAATCTCTTGACCTCGTGATCCACCTGCCTCGGCCTCCCAAAGTGCTGGGATTTACAGCCGTGAGCCACCGCGCCTGGCCTGTCTTCTTTAATCAAATCACATCTTATATCCAGCAGTCATAGATGAGTATGCTAGAATCATGGACTGCTTGGAAGTCTTTTTATCTGGTGTTTACCTAGTGATCTGTTGGTAGAAATTTGGGTTGCTTATTAAATATTAATTATTTTTAATTATTGGATATCAGATCTGGTTTCTACATGGAACGAAGACTACCAGTTCTCCTGAAACTAATCGATTATTGAGGTATGTTTCTTTTCCTTCCCTGGTGATGTGCAAAGAGAATGAAAAGGGAAAAGGGGCCAGGAAGGAGATGTTTTTTCTCCTTCATACATTCAACAGCTAATCTGAGTACCAGCTGTGTACAAGGCACTAACCTAGATGCCTGGGACACATAATGAACTAAGTAGACAAAGGCTCCTACATGCCTGGGACACATAATGAACTAAGTAGACAAAGGCTCCTACCCTTAATCATTGAGTTTTATTCTAGTTGGGGGAGAGGGTGACAGATAATAAACAAGAGTCATAATATGAATTCATTGGAGAGTATGTGAGAAAGGCGAACTGTGGGGAGAAGAGCGCAAGGTAAGTGGGTGAAGGAGTGTTGGGGAGAATGGGATTGCAATTTCAGAAATGGTAGTGGTATGAACTGAATGTTGGTGTCTCCCCCAAATTTGTATGTTCAAGTCCTCACTCTAATGTGGCTGTATCTGGAGATGGGGCCTCTAAGGAGGTAACTAAGATGAAATGAGTTCGTAAGGATGAGCACTCATTCAACAGTATTAGTGTTCTTATAAGAAGAGACATGAGTTCTCCCTCTCACTTTCTTCCCACACGCACGCACTGAGGAAAGGCTGTATGAGGACACAGCAAGGAGGCTGCCGTTCACAAGCTGAGAAGAGAGCCCTCACAACAGATGGAATTGGCTGGAGCCTCAATCTTGGACTTTCAGCCTCCAGAACAGAGCAAATAAATGTGTGTTGTTAAGCCACCCACTCCATGGTGTTTTGTTATGGCAGCCCACACTAATACAGGCAGTGATGGAATATCTCATGTGAGGAAGTGACATTTGAACACATCTGAAAGTGTAGAAGGCAGCCAAGGGCATCTGAGGTAAGGACATTTTAGACAGAGGAACCAGTCATTGCAAAGGGCCTGAGGCAGGCGTGTACCAGGCAGGGTGAGGAGCACAGGGAGGCTGGGTTGGCTGGGGCAGAGTGAGTGGAGCAAACAGAGGGGCCGTTTCAGGAGATAAGATCAGACAGATGATTGTGTAGGGTAGGGGTTCCCCAACTTTCTAGGCCCATAGTGCCCTTAGTGTCATTGTAATTTTTTACGATGCCCCTATGTCAAAGAAAATAACTAATGGTTTGGATTTACAAGTGTTTGGGTTCTAACAATTTTATAGTAGTAATATGACTGATACTGCTGTATAACCTAGAACTTAGAAAAGTACCCCGTAGTGTCCCTGTGAATGCTGCCTTGGAGTGCCTTGGTGCACAGTTTGGGAATAGCAAATGTAAGGGGGTGTTGGGCATTTCAAGGATTTGGTTTTGGATTTTGGGAACTACTGCAAGGATTTTGAGCAAAAGAGTAACATGATATATGTTAAAAGATTGCTCTGGCTGTTGTGTTGAGGATAGTACTGAGGCTTTTGCTAGAATCCAGGCAAGAAATGACAGTGGTTAGGGTGGTAGCTGTGGAGGTTGTGAGAGGAGAATTGGGAAATGGCGGATATCTTGAAGATAGATTCAAGAGGATTTCCTGGTGGATTTAATGTGAGAGCAAGAGAGAAAAGAGTTAGTGGTATCTCCCAAAGTTTTTGACATGAGCAAATGGAAGGATTAAGTTAGCAAGTGTGATAGAGAAGGCTGTAGATAGAGCAAGTATTGGGAGTATCTGGAGTGTTGTTTTGGGCATACAGGTTTTCTCTATTAATACCCCAGTGGAGATGTCACGTGGGCAGTTGTGAGAGAGAGAGAGAGAGATCTAGGGGTCCTGAGAGATCTGGGGGTCCTAAGCAGTTAAAGCTATGAGATTAGGTGAGATCACTAAGGGAATGTGTTGGTCAGGGTCCAGAAGACAGAAGCCGCACAGTATTGTGAATGAGGTAAGTGTAATATAAAGAATTATTGAGTGGCAATGATTAATTCTAAAAGGCTAATGAGAATGCTGAAGAATATTCTTGGGCTGAGGGACAGTACTTGAGGAATAAATTTGGAAGACAAGTCCTTCCCCAAGGCTGGGACCTGAGCTTCACTGGAGAAGGTATGGCTGTGGCTCACTGGACAGCAGAGTTTGCTGGGTTCCCTGGGCCTGTGTTGGTCTACAGCCACTGGGGAAGCAGAAAGCACCCTGCCAGGGTCCATGAAGTGCTGCTGGATGTCCCTCACATGTACATGGTAGCCATGTGTCAGGAACCATATGGAAACACACCAGAACCAGGAAGGGAAGCCCCCTCCTCCAACACTGTTGGCAAAACTGAACATTGTATCAGCTGTGCAGGAGAAATGCCTACAGAGTCCAGTTCCATTATTGCAGAACAGGCAATGAAGGGTGGCTTTGGAGCAGAGAGGAAATAAATTGGAAACTGGCAATATACTAAATATGTGAGAAGAGAAGAAGATAACTTCTCTGATAATAGGGAGAAAAAAAAATCAACAAAAGGGCACCGATAGGGAACAACCAATAAAGTAGGAGAAAAAGAAAGAATGTAGTGTCCCAGGAGTAAAGTGGAGAAAGTATCAAGGAGGGAGGGAATGAAAGTATCAAGGAGGGAGGCAGTGTTGAATGCTGTGAGAAGTCAAGTAAGACAAAGGCTATAACAACTGACCATTGGACTCAGCTGTGGGGAGGTCCTTGTGATCCTGACAAACAGTTCCAGTAGAGTAATGGGGAGTAGGGAAGATTCGAGTGGGGTTATGAAAGCATGAGAGGAGAAGAAATAGTGTACAGACAGCTTTAACTTAGGTTAGGTACTTTGTTGGAACCTTCTAAACTTTATCCTTGAACAGAATCTGGAAAACTCTACCAGGCTTTTGAATCTGTTCTCACAGATATGCTTTATAGCTGAAATCATTTCTTGGGGAATTGATCAGATACATGTACTTTGAAGCCTGGCTTATTGAATTTTAGATTCCCTCAGCCTGAACTTGCCTGAAAGCTTGCCTCTAGCTGCTAATTTCCTGCTACATTCCAGATTGTGCCTTCTGCCCCCTTCCAAATGGGCTGTCACCAGCTTGGAGGTCAGCCTGCATGTTCCTGGAAGCCGAGAGCGAGTGTACACAGCTTCTAGGAATAGAGCAGTGTGCCATGGGGCTCCAGAGTACTGGGAAGGAACCCACTGTGGTCTGTTCCATGAAAAAATTTGTGACTTTTTCTTTGGAACTTTCAGTGTGAGTATAACCTACACCTAGAAGCAATATGGAGTTATAGAGGGACCCTGAGTCACGTCACATGCATTTTAACATAGTTCTTCCAATTACTTGCTGTAGAACCTTGAGAATATTTTTTATATCTCCATATCTCAGTCATATGAGAAATGGGAACATTCTCATGATCTCCAGGGATTAAACAAATGAATGTATACAAAAGGACTGGCATATAGAAGTGCTTAGAAAGTATTGGTTGTTATTCTTATTATCTGTTTCTAATTTTATATGGAAGTATGGCAGGAAAATAAGGTTCACCCATGTTACACAGCATGTGGCAATACTTCAGTGTTTTATTGCCAAATAATATTCCATTGTATGGTTGCTAGACATGTGAATTGTTTCTGCTTTTTGGCCATAATGAATTATGATGCTGTGAACATTTGCAAAACTCACTTTTGTGTGAACATATATTTTCATTTCTCTTGGTACATGCCAACAAGTCGAGTTATTGAATATCAGATGGTGACTCTATATATTCAACCATTTTAGCAATTACTAGACTGTTTCTCAAAGCAGCTGCACCATTTTACATTTCCACTGGTAGTGTATGATGGTTTTAGTTTTTCCACATGTCCAGTCCAATCAGTCTTGATTTACATCTCTCCAGTCAGGTAAGTCCATCCTCCTCCTCGTACGGTAAGGAGCAAGTAAGGACCTCAAGGTCTCATGTGTCAAAGCACCACAAGTATTACATCATTTTTAATTCAGTTGGTATCTTAGACTCTAAAACTTTGGTTTTCTTAAAACTAGCACTGGTTGCTTGATTACAGGTTGTCTCTTTTCGATTATAGCCATCCTAGTGGGTGTGGAGTGGCATCTCATTGTGATTTTGATTTGTATTTCCCTCATAGCTGATGATGATGTTGAGCATCTTTTCACGTACTTCTTGGCCATTTGCATATGGTGAAATGTCTGTTCAGATCCTTTGCTCAAGTTTTAATAATATCCTTTTATTGTTGAATTCTTATATTCTCTATTTACTCTAGATACAATTCCCTTATCAGATAAGTGATTTGCCACACGTTTCTTTCATTCAGTGGGTTGTCTTTTCACTTTATTGATGGTGCCCTTTGAAGAACATAATTTTTAACTTTGATTTTCAGTTGCACGTAAGCTTTTGTTTCTCACCGTTTTCTAGGGAACCTGAACTAAGTACCTGAGTGAGGTAGACATTAGTTCCATATCTGGTGAGGGAACTAAGGATCACAGAGATTAACTAATTTTCCCAAACCACATAGCCGGCATAGAAAGAAGTCAGAATTTGCGCTGAAGTCTGTGAGATCCCTTATGGACAGGGTGCAGGACATACTAAGTGTGAGTTGAGCTTGCACATTGGAAGGTTGGGCATGGTGGCTCCCAGCCACCATGGGAGGCTGAGGTGGGGGATCACTTGAGCCCAGGAGTTCGAGACCAGCCTGGGCAACACAGTGACACCCCGTCTCTACAAAAAAAAATGCAAAATTAGCCCGGCATGGTGGCACATGCCTGTAGTCCCAGCTACTCGGGAGGCTGAGGTGGGAGGATTGCTTGAGCCTGGGAGGTTGAGGCTGCAATGAACTGTCATCATGCCATTGTACTCCAGCCATCATGGAGTGAGACCCTGATTTGGTTTGGCTGCATCCCCACCCAGATGTCAACTTGAATTATGGCTCCCAGAATTCCCATGTGTTATAGGAATGGAAGGGACTCGGGGGAGATATTTGAATCATGGGGCTGGTCTTTCCCATGCTATTCTCATGATAGTGAATAAGTCTCACGAGATCTGATGGGTTTATCAGGGGTTTCTGCTTTTGTTTCCTTCTCATTTTTCTCTTGCCATCGCCACGTAAGAAGTGCCTTTTGCCTCTCGCCATGATTCTGAGGCCTCCCCAGCCATGTGGAACTGTAAGTCCAATTAAACCTCTTTTTCTTCCCAGTCTTGGGTATATCTTAATCAGCAGCATGAAAATGGACTAATACAGACCCTATCTCAAAAAAAAAAAAAAAAGATTGCATATTGGCACTTGGTCCCTGAATGTGCTAATGATATGTGGCATTCGTGGGCCGTCTGCTGTGTGTGGGGTTCTACATACATCCTTCCTTGAATATCCTTAAGGCATTCACCTCTTCAGCCTCCAGGATGGGAAGGTTTTTGTAGGAATGTATCTTTTCCTCTCTTGAGGTCCTCACTTGCTCCTCGTCATAGGAGGAAGGACGGATTTATCTGATTGGAGAGACTGTAAATACTGACTGACTGGAACATATGGACCAGGGGCGGGCCTGCTGCATGGACTTTGGGTCGTGTGGGTTGCTCACTCTCCTGGCCTCTTCTTGCCTATGCAGAACTGATTTCTCACCTCTACCTTTTTGTCTGTTCCTGGTGGGTTAGGAATGTAGAGGAGAGAAGGGATGAAGATTAGTTTCTCTGAGCCCCTGCAGCATTATTTTTCATGTTGCCTCTCCACCTGTTCATTGTTGAGTAAGTGTTGAATGAGTGGATGGGGAAACAGCCTTGGAGAAATTTACAATCCTGCGTATCCCTACTAAGTGATGCAAGTGAGTCAGGGAGGCTGGGTCCACACCCAAGCACCACTCTTGGTGGTTTGTATGATTCTCTGGTTAGGGAGGCATGACGGTAACATCTCCCGCTTATTCCTGCCATCTGCCGCTTTGTCTGCCTCTCATCTCCCTGGCGGCTTCTTCCATGCAGCAGGTTGGTGGACTCAGGTGTACTTTGTTCACTGCCTGGCCCTGCCACATCGTAGTTGCGGGACCACGAGCAATGGGCCAGCCATTGG